AGGCGAGCCAGCCCTCCCCCCCGCAGCCCCCTGGCTGGCGCACCAGAGCAGCTCTGCACCCACCCGCGCCGCCGGCCCGGTGACAGAGCACACCCTGGCACTGCCCGGCACCTGGAGAACAGCCCCTGCTCTGCCTTCTCGCCTGCCTGAGCCGGCTTCAAAGGGAAAGTGGAAGCTGGCAAGCTGAACCCTCCCAGGCAGCCTCCCATCAGCTGCCCAAGCTGGTGGCCCCCTCCTCAGTGCTCTGCTGACCAGCAGCGACACAGGAGACCACGCTGCTGCCGTGCCCAGCAAGGTCTCGCTCCTGGGCACAGCGGGACAGGCAGGAGAGCTTGGCCTCTGTGCGGACATGTCTCAACACCCAGGCAAGAGGTCAGCCCACCACTACTGCCCTGTGCGCTCCCAGCGCGTCCCCCACTACCCTGGGAGGAGCCCCCCTTCCCTCCCGATGGAGCCCAGCACACCTTGGCAAAGGTGGAGCCCTTCCCCTCAGACTGGATCGTGATGGTCTGTGTCCTGCGCTGCAGGATCTGATCAATGTCTTCCTCACAGAACTTCGATCCTTCGTCCTCCTCGTCCATGAGAGCGCCGTAGGCACCCTTCCGCAGCAGGTCCTCCACCTCCATCTTTGAGAGCTTCTGAACCTGCCCAAAACACGGCGGCATTACCAACCTGGCCAGCTGCCCTGAGCACTGCGCAGCAGGAGAAGACTCTGCCCTCTGCCCCAGGAGGGAGGGCAGAGATGCCCCAAGACAACCCAGACCTCCACTGCTACAGCAAAGAGGTCAGTTCAAAACACTGCTGAGAGACTGTCAGGAATTTTAGTCCAAGTCACCCAGACCCAGCACCACGTGTCCTCCAACTCCGTGGCAGTGCAGGGACAGCCTGCCAGGCCAAAGAGCAGCAATGCCAGTGTGGGACCAGGCTCTCCCTCCTCAGAAGCCTGCCCAGGTCTCTGCTCTGGCCTGGCAGTGACTTGCAGAGGAAAGAGGAGAGCTCTCCCGCAGCACCTCCCGCCCAGCCCCACTCTAACACCAACCTACCCCGTTGGTGCTGCCCTTGCGGTTGATGTCCTGCAGCACAGCCTTATCCAGGCCCAGCTTCAGGCTGGCCTTGTCGAACATCTCCCGCTCGTAGGAGTTCCTGGTGATGAGGCGATAGACTTTCACCGCCTTGCTCTGCCCGATCCGGTGGCAGCGAGCTTGAGCCTGGGAGTGCAGAGGGCACAGCGTCAAGCACAGTGAACCCAGCAGGACGGGGACCGTGGGGCTTGTGGCACGCCGAACCAGCACACACCTGAGCCAAAGTCCCCCCCACCACAGCACCCTCAGCTAGCGCTCGCGGCTCACCTGGCAGGGCTCTGCCAGCGGGTGCTGGTTAGCACCAGGCCCGTGCAGTTGTGGAGTGGGAATCGGAGATACCTGCACCCCCGGGAAAGGACACGGGGCTCAGGCTGGAGCCTTGGCTCTCTGCAGATGAGGGGTACCCAACACTTCACCCCCTCTGACACCAGGTATGGACAAAGTATTGCTTGGTCTGTGGCCCACTCGTGCTTTTAGAGCCACACCGTGATCTCCCCCATGACATGTCCCTTCTGCTTGCACTGCTGCCAGCTCTCCCAGCATGGCACCCCATGCCCAGTACAGCCGAGTGCTGCTGCCCTTCCCTCCCCGGCTGGCACGAGTGACGGGAGCCATGCTGCAGGACCCCCGGCAGCCTGGCCCAGCCTGGCCCATTACCTGGAGGTCATTCTGTGGGTTCCAGTCCGAATCAAAGATGATGCAGGTGTCGGCAGCGGTCAGGTTGATGCCCAGCCCTCCCGCCCGCGTGCACAGGAGAAAGACGAAGCGATCGGAGTCAGGCTTGCAGAAGCGGTCAATGGCAGCTTGGCGCAGGTTCCCGCGCACCCGCCCATCGATGCGCTCATAGGTGTACCTGCTCCAAGAGGGGAAAAGGCGAGAGCAGGGTCACGGCAGGGCCTGAACTGGCTGCAGCTTACAAACCCCTTCCTGCTCCTTCCCCCGGGCTGTGGGTGGGCAGGCAGGCCGCCAGTTGGCAGGACCTGTGCACAGGTGGAGGCTCAGGCCCCCTCAGCCTGCGTGCACTGTGGTTGTTCCCAAAAGTCATTCCTCTTACAATGGCAAAATCACCATGAACCCACACACGGTGTGTGGATATGGGGCTCATGGGAATCAGGACCAAGGGAAGGGCCTATTTCCATTTGGTCACTCCTAGGACTAGCCCTGGGCAACGCAGAATGAACAGGTCAGAGCTGCCCAGCTCTGGGGTCTTTGCACCACCAGCAGTAGCCTGTAACTTGGATCCTTTGGTATGTGGCCACAGAACGGCCCAATCCCCACCCCGGGTTGTTTCCACTCTGTATCTACAGTGCAGGATGGAGATGATGTGGAGCTGTGGTGAATGCTGAAGCCTGTACTAACCGCCTCTGAATGAGATAGTCTTCCAGGATGTCGAGGCAGCGCACCATCTGGGAGAAGATGAGCACCTTGTGCCCACCGGCGATCAGCTTGGGAAGCAGCTTATCAATGAGCACCAGCTTCCCAGCTGCCTGGATCATCGCCTGCAGCTGGAAGTCTGGCGCCTCTGGGCTGTGTGTTTTACGGAAGTCTTCCAGGATCTTCTCCTCCGCCCCTGCCAGGTGAGAAGGGACATGAGCTCTTGGCAAGGCTGGCAGTGCAGCTGCCCCAGCCTCCCACCCAGGGCAACAGCAAGCCACCACATGAGGAACAGAACCCGTGCAGTCGATCAGATCTAGGGAGGTTGGCTAGAGACCTCCAGAAGCCCCTCCATTCCCGTGACTCCTTCTTCAGGGCTTGCACCAGCTCTTGGCAGAACAAGCCAGACTGCAATGTCGGAGAGAGTCCCGCACCAGAACACCCCCAAACAGAGAGCTTCACAAGACCCTGAGGTGCTCACCAGCAAGCGGCACTTGCGGGGAGCTGGGCTGCCCGTGAAGGCAACAAGGCAAACCACTGCATCCTGTGCTGGGCCTGGATGCACAGCCACACCAGCAGCAGATGGCACGAGGGCCTGAGCTGGCTCCCAAGCTGGGTGAGCTCTGCAGGTAGTGACCAGTATTTACTGGTTGCAGTGATATCTGTCCCCCCAACACCTCCTGTGCCCAGCCCTCACCGTTGATGAGATACGGGTGATTGCAGCACTTCCGCAGCTCCATCATAGTGTTGATGAGGTTGGGCATATTGTGCTGGTTGGCACCCTTGGAGAGGAAGGAGAAGTTCTTCTCCAGGATGGCCCGGTAGTATTTCTTCTGGATATTGGTCAGCTCCACCTCAATGATGGTCTCCTGCTTGGGTGCCAGATTCTTCTCCACATCATCCTTCAGCCGTCGCAGCATCATGGGCTTCAGGATGGACTGCAGCTTCTTCACCTGCCAGAGCAAGCACAGAGATTTACTGCCCTCCCTGCATGGCAAGCACTTGGTGACAACAGCGGAGAGGCCTGCAGCGCTAGAGCCTCCCCAGGCTGGAAACCCACTACAAATGACCCTGAAGCAGCTGCTGTGCTGACAGCCAGGCCAGCTTCAGGGTCTGGCTTCCTTGGGGCAGGCGTGCGAGTGACCAGCCCTGGGCCATGATCTCCACATGCTTCTGCTGCCGGCAGCCTTGGGTAAGTGTGTCTGCTGCAGGAGGAGAGCTGAGAGCTCTGATAGCAGCTGAGATGATGGCTGCTGCATGTGCCCATGCCTGCTCCCTCAGAATGACGATCTTTGTGCAATCTCCACTTAAAGCCAGACATTCAAATGGCAGCGAGACAGCCCAGGGGAGTGAGCTGCTTTCCATTACCCACGCTCAAGGGGAACTTTGGAGGATGGCTCCCCAGGGGAACCTGACAAGGGTGACTGACACATGGACTTACTGATCTCCCCGCTCCCCCTACACTCCTGTTGGTCTCAGGGACAGACCAGGTGGGAAAGCCGGGTGAGCCATGCTGCCGAGGCATGGAAGGGGCAGCTGGGAGCTAGGCAGGGAGCGGATCACTGCCTTGGCACAGGCTGGTCTCCTTTCTCCAAAGCAATGTTGGAGGCTCTGTCACAACTTTGCTTCTCCCGGCACGAGGAGTCCTATTCGCTTCTACGAAGCACATGTCTGAGTGCGTGCCTGGCTTGGCGACCATGTGTCCCGGTGACCTGTGCTAACAGTCACCAGTGTCACTCTTCTAGGTACCTGCTCCTCTGTCTTCAGGTCTCCAAACTCCTCCAGGAAGGCTGTCTCTGAGGGGAACTGCTGCGGCTCCAGGAAATTCAGTAGGCTGAAGAGCTCCTCCACCGAGTTCTGCAGGGGGGTCCCTGTCAGCAGCACCTTGTGCTCCTGGGTATACACAGAAAACAGGTTGAGGGCTCAGACCCACTGGCTGGGTCCAAGGGGTCCCAAGAGCGCAATGCTCCTTGCTTTCCAGCCTCAGGAGCACTCCGGGTGGCCTGGGGGCACACACACTCCCTGAAAGGCTCCCCCGCCCATGGCGCCAGCCCTGACCCAGCCACTACCACGAAACACTGTCTTGTGGCTCCCCAGCCCCCCCGCCCGAGCGGCCCCCCCCTCCCCCCAGCCACTACCACGAAACACTGTCTTGTGGCTCCCAGGACGCTCCCCTGGACGTGTCCCAGTCCAGCTCTGTGCAGCAGCAACAGCCAAAACTGAGAATCCCACGCTGCCCCCGGGCTTCAGCCCTGCGCTGGCACGAGACCCTCGGGCAGGGCTGTGCTGGCACCAGACGGGGATGCTGACAGAGCCCAAGCCTCCATGCACCCGGGGGCAGGATGTCGCTCTTCAGAGAAGAGGGTAGAACAAGAGGGAACATGGCCCAGAGCCATGTGATACCAAGGGGCATCAGGGACCTGCTGCTAGGGCCAGCGTGAGCAGGGTGCTCCAAAATCAGCAGGGGCACGTGTGACTGCGTGAAGTGTGCACTGGGAACACGGAGGAGCTTTTTTCAGAGGTTCACCATGTAGGTACATGCTCAATAAAAGGAGAAAGGAGTCCAGATGACCCCCCAAGACCCGGGGGTGTGAGGAGCGGATGACCCCTCAAGGAGAACGCGCTGACACCATGGGCTCTGGCTTCAGGCACCGCCAGGTGCTGCCTCCTTGGGCACAGCAGCCACTCTGTCCCAGCAGTGCCAGAGACTTGGGCGCTCACTCACTGCTCGGGATAAGCCTTCTGCCCAGCCTAATGCAGGGAACATCCCCAGGAGTCACCAGCTATGAAAGAAGGGCAATTGTAAGGTGGAAGGCTCCCACAGGACTTGTACAAAGGAAGGTGATGGTGACCAAGGGGGGCCAGCAGCAACCCCGCTTTGCCCCAGGCTGCTCACAACCCAGCAGGGACCTGCACAAGACACAAGGTCATGGGGAAACAGCAGGGTCTTTGGGAACTGGAGACATAAGACTAATACTTTTTGGAGGCCTGGCCCAGCTACATGTGATGGAAGCTGGGTAGGGCTGGGAGATCCAATAGGCCTGATGGCCCTCAGTCCAGCAAACAGCAGTGCTGCCTTTCCCAGGGCTGGGAAGGAGCCGGACATCCAAATTCAATTCTCAGAGCAGCTCATTGATCCCTTTTTCACCATGCACAGTCCTGCACCCCCATCCCTGGCATGGACCGGTCCCATGTTTGCAGAGCAGTAAGAAACCAGCTTGAACACTGCAGCCCTGCTCACCGCAGGGTACAAGGCACACCACGGCCAGGGGATGCTGTGCACGGCTGGCCAGCAATGGCCTCCCTGTGCTGCAGCAGCCCAAGCTGCGCTTCAAGGCCAGGCAGTGCTCTGCCAGCAAGTGCACACAGATGGGAAGGCATGGGGGGACTTGGCCTGCTGTGGGTTAATTTCTACTTCAGCAAAAAGTAGTTTGTGATGGCTGCAGGGCACCAGTGCCCCATCCATCCAAGGGCCCCCCATCACCGGCACTGCTTCAGCGACCTGATGGGTCCTGGATGGTTCTCCCTCTGACAGAGAGCTCTCAGCTCTGGCACCGGGCCTGAGCAGCTGGCAGTGGCATCCGACTGCTGGGCATGGCCATCTCGGGCCCACCCTGCTCTCACGTGAACCTGGGCAGCACGTGCTCACCAGGGCCATGAGCTTCAGCCCCTCCAGGAGTTTGCAGTTCCTGTTCTTCAGGCGATGTGCCTCATCAATGACCACACAGCGCCACTGGATCTTCTTCAGCTCCGGGCAGTCAGCAAGGATCATCTCAAAGGTGGTGATAACCACCTGGAACTTGAAGATCCCAGGGAGAGGGTTACCCTAGGGAGACATAAACCATATGCACCGCTTGACTTCTGCAGGGTGGCAGGACACTGTCAGACATCCTGTCAATGTATCAGTGTTAGCACCCAGGTCCTAGCTGGGATTTCCCCAGATTCATCTCTCTCAAGCAGCAGGCAGGTTCCTGCAAGCCTCCTCGCTGGCCGCAGGCTGCATCTCTCCAAACCAGACATTGCTTCAGGGCAGACAAACAGGCCTGGACAAGAAATGCAGCTAGGGCTCTGCTGCATTTTCCCCTTTCTGCATGAGTTGGGCCTGTTCTTCACTCATATACAGTTCACCCTGAGCCCATGCCAGCAAAGCGGTCTTAAAAGATCATCTCTCCCTCTCTAGATGAACCACAAGCTCCACCGGCAGCTCAGCGCTTCCCAAGCTGGGGGACAGATCCCAGGAGTGTTGTGTGCGTCAATCACCTGTGTGTCCCTGTACACCATCTCGTACTGCTGGATCATCTGCCGGCTGATCTGGCTGCCGTGGTACACGATGGCATTCATCTCTGTCCAGGTGCGGAACTCCCTCTCCCAGTTGGTGATGGTGGAGAGAGGTGCGATGATGAGGAAGGGGCCATGGATGCCCATCAGGAATATTTCTGAGAGGAAGGTGATTGACTGGATTGTCTTCCCCAGCCCCATCTCATCAGCCAGGATGCAGTTCTTCCTGCAGAGAAGGACAGGGGCAGGTGAACGTGGCTGGCAGGGACAGGAAGCACCCTGTCACCAGCTCCTCGATGGGATGTCAGGCACATCACCTCCACCCCACCTCTCTCACCCTGCAGTGTGGAGGGTGGGGGGACATTGGTATAGTGGCCCAAACTGGTCTGGGTAAGCCAGACCATCCAATTACTTGCAAGACGATGGACTCAAAGTTAGTGTGAAAGATGCTGTCCTTTGGGTGCACGCTAGCCAGTGAAAGATGCATCTGATGGCCTGCTGCAGCTGAGAACATGCATATTCCTGCACTCCTGCCACAGGAATGGGTCACCAGTGGCCTGGCCAATATAAAAAATCAGGTGTATCTTAGACCCATAGCTAAGCCCTACTATCTCCAACACTCATCAGCATTTACCAGAGAGAAATGTTCCTAAAGACTCAGTTGCAAAGCTAAAACAAACACAGTTTTTCTGGCAGCTGCCTGCTAGCTCCAGCACTGGAAGGTCTCAGTGGCTGCTCTGTCAGGCCCCTGTTTGTCAGCTTTGCTCCTGCAGCTCTGCTGCTCCCGTTACCGCACGCACCAGGGCCCCGCTGCCAGCAGGACTCCTCATGGGAGTGGAGGGCTCCAGCCCCTCCTCACCTGTTGTACCAGTTAAAGAGCAGCCAGTTCATTCCCTCCAGCTGATACTCCCGCAGCTGGTTGCTGTTCTTATACTCCCGGGACTTCTCCAGTTTCTGCCAGGACTCAGATGCCGGGCGCTCCTAGGAGGAGAGAGCAGGAGCAAGATCCATGGAGAGGAAGAGGCTAACACTCAGCAAGGCCAGACCGGGGTCGGCGCTTCAGGACAACGCTTCAGAACAGTCATTGACAACTGATTCACAGCAAGGTCTTGGCCTCCAGACCCCACCCTCGGATCCTGCTAACTAACCCATCCGGAGGGGACGATACGGGGCTTGCACTGCAGCAGCGGGGACAAGAAGGTCAGCACCGCTGGACCTTGGCAAGACACAGACAGTCCCTGCCTGCCCAGGGCAGCGAGCTGCCAGCCGGGTACGTTACCTCTGGGTACGTTACCATGTGCTTGATTTCTGGAGGGATTTGGAGGGCTTCAAACTCTTTTATCTTCCCTGGGTCGACATCCTCCTCCAGCTCCCAGGTGCTCTCCTCATAGGGCAGCGAGCACCACTTCACCAGGTAGTGAGTCACCTCCTGCGGCGCAGAGACAGGCTCAGAGACGGCGCAGGCGCACGGCCGCTCGGCCCCAGCGCGCGGGCGCAGACCGTGACTGCGAGCGAGTCACAGGGACGGTCAGCGGCCCCCCATTTACCCTGTGCCAGGGGGTCCCCGGGGACAGGGCTCAGGCTGCACAAGGCTGGAAAGGCCTCAGGGTGCTCGGAGATGACACGCGATGCACATCGTGGGTCTGGGCCCCCTGCCAAGCCTCCCTCCCTCCCTCCGCGGGACAAGTAAGCGATGCAGCCACTCACCTCCCCAGTGTCAGGGTCCTTTGTGTGAGCCACCTCCAGAATTCGATCTACCTCCACGTAGTCCGGGTTGAACAAATCCTCATCAGGCTGCGACAGCGAAGAGTAAAAAGAGAGGTAAGTTCAAGGTGATTCCATGGTTAAACAGATGGCGGGCATGAGTAAACAGCTGCAGGACATCTGTCCCCAGGATGCTGCTAGCTGCGCGCAGCACACCGAGTGCCCTGGACGCAGGTACGCGACATCTGTCTCTGGGCAGGGAGGACGCAGGAGCCCTGCAGAAGGCAAAGCTCTGGCTTTAGAGCAGCCACAGGCTCCATGCTGCCCTTGCTGGGAGGCAGGAAAGTCCTCTCCAGCCCATCTGGCCCCAAGGCACAAAGCCCTGAGCTGTACGCTCCAGCTTAAATACGGCATCCAGAGCTGTGACTGCCACAGCGCAAAGCCATACATAGCACGCGACGAACTCCACTCCTCTGCAAGGGATGGCACCTTGTTCTCTGCCTCCCTCCCTCCCCACTCATGAGGCAAGGGCTCATCCTCCTGCCAGGAACACCTGGGGAGGAGTGGGCTTTAGACAGGCAGTGGTCCTCAGAGAGACACACTGTCTAGGGCTTGGGAAGGAGAAAAAATGGGCTTCTATGTTCACAGCTCCCCAAGCCCTAGTTAGTCATGTTTGCTCCTTGCTAAATTGTTAGTGGTACAGTGTGTTCCAACACATGCTTTTTCTTTGCATCCTGGGAAAGACCCCAAACAGACTCAGGAGTGAGAAACTTGACACACACCCCCAGCTTTCCAACTACATCCATGGAGAAATTTTCATAGCCTACTGGCCTGATTTACACTTCTAAGGGGCAGTTTGAGGAGATCCAACAACTATCTCTGGAGCAGCAAGATAAATTATAGAACGCCTTTCGTATTAAACAAGATTAATCTGCTTATAGAGCAGAGCAGGCAGGAGCTCCCCTAAGCGCAAGTATTTATAGCTCCCTCTCTCCCATAGCATCTCTGCTCCACCATGAAAGCACCTCCAGCACTGCACGCTGCCCTCCCTCCCGTTGAGCAACGTTTCCAGGGTTGGCAGTGCCTGGCAAGTGACATTTGTCACCCTGCCCATACCTCTGCCAGTGACACCGCGGGTGTTCAGGGCACTGACACGGCCCCTCAGCTCCAGCATCCCCACCTGCTCACCCTCGTGTGCTGTGCCCTGGTTCAAACCAGCCTGGAACTCGAGGAGCCACGCTGCTGCCTGGGCATTGCCACGGTGTCAGCGAGGGGGCACAGGCAGGGCTCTGGGCAGCACCCCGGCAACACTGAGCTACGGCAGAGCTCAGGCAGGGCAGGCACAGCTGCACAGTGAGCTCTGCCTGCCCGCTCCCAGCCCTGAATTTTGGCCCTGGAGCTGGTCTCGCCTGGCAGGGAGGTGCCAGAGGCAGCGCTCAGCTCTTGGCCTGCTCAACCACCGCACCAGGCCCACGTGTGCCAGGGTCGGGCACAGCTGCTTGCCACGCTCAGCTCTCACCTCTGTAAAAATATGCTTCATCTGAGCCTGCTTGTTCCGGAAGCGCTTTATCTTCTGGGAGATCCTGGGGTCCTTCTCCAGCTCCTCCAGAGTTGCCCACTTACAGTGGAGGTAGGAGCTGCGGAGAAAAAAGAAATCAACAAAACGTGACCAAAGAGGCCTTTGGGCCCGACGCCATCCGCCACGCGGACCAGCAGGGATCTCCCAGCGACCCAGAGACACCCAGCCTAAGCCTCGCCACGTGAAACCCCAAACTGGAAGAAGCCGTGGCTCAGGTCCAGGCCAAGACTGAGCACTGCGGCTGCAGCGGCTTTCCTGCTTCCCACTGCCAGGACTGGCTCGGGGGGGACAGCGAGACAGGGATGCTGGGGCTGCAGCTGGGCATGGGATGGAGGTGGGAGCCCTGACCCCTCGCTCCTACATGCACAGGACCCACTGCTAAGGCACAGAGCGCCACAACACCACACGTACAAGTTCCTGTACTTGACGTAGAACTCCTCCATCTCAAACGCCAGGCCTCCAGGATGAGCCTGAAACCAAGGGAAGGAGAGTTAGCGACAGTCAGAGCCTGTGCAGAACCTGGGGGCATCCTCTGTGGCCTGGGCACAGACAGGCATCCCTTGCCCAGCCCGGCAGGCTGAGCCCCACAAACAGCAAGGGTGGCCAGGCACTCGGCGTGCTGCCTGCCCCGGAGGCTCGGTGGCCCTGGGGAAGGTGGTGTGAGACCACGCTTGAGCATGGGGGACTCAAACACCTCCTGGGCATCAGCCCAGGCTTGACTCCTCTCCAGAGGCTTTCTGATGCCCAGGGCAGGAGAGGCACCACATTGATCCCCAACCCAGAAAGGTGCCAGTCTGGGCACATCCCAGCAGCGCCCTGCGAGGAGTGAGTGCAAGGAAAGGCACGGCAGCACCGACTGCTGCTACATCTCATGTTCCTGCTGCACGAGGCAGCCAGGTCCCATCTCTCCTCTTCCCAGGGACCTCCAGTCCCACTGACATTTTTGCCACTCACCTCCTTCTGCACCATCCTGGAGGCAAGGATCTTCTCAATGATATTGGCATCATCCTCGGGAGGCTCCTGGGGACAGGAGAGCAGAGCGCTGTTTTCCCAGCTCATCACAGGCTTGGCCTCGGCACCCTCCCAGCACAGCACGGCTGCTTGCTCCTCTCCCAGCCCACCAGCCAGGCAGGCAGAGCCCGCACAGAGGGAGCTGGGAGACCTGTGCTTGGGGAACCCTTGCTGGGTGCGAGGGCGCAGGTGCTGCCAGCCCAGCAACACTCGCCCTCTGCCTGTGCCCCCCAGGCCAGCAAGGCCACAGCACTGCTGGGTTTAGCTGTGCGGGCCCTTCCAGCTAGCCCAGGGCAGCCAGAAAGGGTGGCAAGTCTCCCAGAAAAGAGGAGGGAGCTTGAGTGCTTCTGCCCCGAGACTCAAGAAAGGAAATATGTGAAAACATGCATATCTCCTGCTCCCAGCCACTCTCCATGACAGATTTCTGACTTGCCTTGGCATTTATACAGCCTGATAGTGCTGGATGGCCCCAAGGGGCCCAGCAGAGCAGGAGCAGGGCTGTTAGGTGCCAGCAGCCACTGGCACCCTCCGCTGCTGCTGCCTGCCCATGGCCACAGGACACGGGCAACAGCACCTCAGCCCCACTGCTGTCCATGCAGCTCTTCCCTGCATGCTCAAAGTGCCGCCTCCTTCCCTCCAGCTCCACCAAATGCCAAGGGACAGGAGAGCCAGGCTTGGGCCTGTCTGCACTGTAGCAGGGGAGGCACAGAAAGATTAAGGGGAGAGGACAGACAACAAAAATATGGAGCTTGCTTGAGCATTAGAAATACCAGTTCTGCCCTGGCTGGGAGATGGTACGGCAGCAGGAAGAGCAAAGTGCAAAGCAGAAAGGAGGAGGACTCTTCATCTCCTTCAGATGGAGGCAGTCTGGTCCAGGGCAAAGCAGCCCTGAGATGTCCCTTTGCAGACTAGAAAGACCCCTCCAAGAAAGGCACGGGGCAGGCTGGGGAAGGACAGACAGCCGGGGCATCCCATACCACTCCCCCAAAAGGGTCTGGGAAAGCCAAGGCGGTGCCCAGGGCTGCAGCAACCCCTCCATGCCCCAGCGCTCAGCTGACCTGCTGCCTCAGCATCCCCCCTGCGCTGTGGGGCAGGATGCTGGACCCAGCACCGCGACACAGCGAGCAGGGTAACATCAGCTCTGTCTGGGCCCCTCAGCTGCGCTCCCGTGGCCCAGAGGGGGATTTTTGCCCTATTCGGGGAGCTCTGCCCCACACGAGGGTAACACGACCAAGGGGAGCACGAAGAGATGCTCCTACTGCCGCCCCTGTGCAGTGCTTGCTTCCCCACACCCAGGCATCCACCCTGGCACTGCTGGGCTCCAGCTTGACCCTGGCCACAAAGGGTTTGTGTGAACACGGCCCAGGGCACAGCGCTGCCATCGCAGCCGCCCCCAGCGCCCCGTGGCTGGGAGCTCCCACGCTGACCCGCAGCCCAGACAGCTTACACAGGTCCGTGGCTCATCGCCGGCAGCCTGTGGGCGGCCGGAGGAGCCCTGCACCACCCCAGAGAGCTGCTGAGGAATGTGGACAGGGTCCAGGGGGGAAAGCTGCAAGTCCAGGCCATGGGGAGAGCAGCCCTGAGGCCTCAGCACTCCCATCTTGCGCTGCCGGGTCAGTCCCAACCCCGGGAGCGGCCACGGCCAGGCCCAGCCAAGCCTGCTGGCAGGAGCCCAGAGCGGCCACTCAGCAGAGAGCCTTGTGCCGTCAGACACCAGCCTTAATAATTCATCTGAAGCAGGACAAATTGAGGTGGAAGCCCAGGACTAAGAGGAAAGCAGGGTGGCGGCATGGATGCATGCCAAAGGCAACCCATTCCCACCTGCTGTTTTGAAAATCTCACTTGGAGAGATCACTGCCAGAAGCCCAGCTGCGACATGGCCCCGGGCAGCAGCTGAAGCCGCACCACCGGCAGCACCTCCCGTGGGTGCGCGGCAGCCCTGCGGGCGAGGCAGGGAGCATCAGGCCAGGTCTTATTTACTGGCTTAACAACAGAGCTGACTAATACCCACATCAAAGCCTTGTGAAGAGGGGACTAGAGAGGGACACTATGAGAACAATTAGTGACCATTATTAATATCTGGCAGCTTTGTTAGCGACCAGAGAGAGGGAATGAGCTGCAGGATCCAACACACAGACCAGCAGGAAGGAGCTGCCAGCACCCACCAGGAGCGCAGAGCAAGCAAGGGCAGCGAGGCCCGAACGGCAGTGACACCTGTCAGTGTGACAGCCCCTGCCACGCTGTCCACACCCCTACTGCGCTGCCCGGCAGATCAGCTTGGCTGGCAGGCTGGGCATCTCTACAGTCCCAGGCACTGATGGAGAGCAGCAACGTGGGCAGAAAATGATGACCTGGCACCTGCAAAGCCTTCAGCAAAATAATAGACTAACCTCATGGACGGGAGCTACGGAGACAGGAGCCAAAGGTGGGCATGGGCAATGGGTGGGTCATGTCTTCAGGGACACGTCCAGCCACATGACATGTTCCCGAGGCCTTCGTCTCCAAGCGGGAGGGGGACAGTTGGACCTGCATGCCTCTTTGCGATCCTTTTCTGCACTCACAGTCCCTGCAAAGCCAGCCTGCACCCTCCCAGACAGGCAACACTCTCTCTCACCCCATCCTTGTGCTCGAACCGCGGCACTGACGCCCTTGGGACACCCTGAGGGAGGCAGGCCCCGTCACCCCAGTCCCACCATCCAGTCCTACCTCTGCCTGCCACGCCAGAGTAGAGGCGGAGAGCGCGGAGGTTCGCCCAGCTCCCAGCACGGCTATTGTCTCGCCGTCATCATCCACCACCTTGAAATCCAGGTCCTCATTATACTTCCGCCTCTTCACTTGCCGTCCTGAGCGGCGTTTCTGTGTATGGGATGAAAAAGGCAGTCATGGGGGAGATGGGCAGACCTCCTCCTTGCTTGAGCGGAGGAGAGAAAGCCCCAGGGCTGCCTGATCTTGAGCCCATCCCCTGCCCCAGTGGGACAGAGGCGGTGGGAAGAACAGGCAGGTTTACCCTTGGAAGTAAACCCATCACCGCGGTGATGAGGTCTCCCATCAGCGCCTGACCCACACAGCCCCATCAGCCCCCGAGACCTGAAGCAGAGGAGCCCTGCGGAGCCACGCGCAGCTCCCCAGCCCTGCGGGGCTGACCTGCCTCCCCGCACTGTGCCGGGAAAGGGGAGCTTGCCAGGAGCCACGGAGGAGAGGGAAACTCAAAGCTGAGGGACGTGCAGTGCCCAGGGCAGCAGCGTGCACCCAACCCAGGGCCACCAGCTGACTTTAAGCAGTGTGGCTGGTAGACCCTGGCCCCGGAGGGGAGCCCTGCGGCTCAGCTCACTGCTGAAAGTGCTCTCTGATTGCTGTGCCCCAGGGCCCAGCTCTTCTCCCGCTCAGAGGCAGCTGGGATTTCCCCCACCAGCAGCCAGCCAAGGGCTTCAGACATACCTGGCTGTCGGCCGACTCCGCGGACTCCTCTGGGCTCTGCACGGATGGGCTCAGGAGATCCTGATCCAAATCCAAACTGTCCACTGGTATCTCATTTTTCCTCTTCCCTTTCTTCTTCTTCTCCACAGGGGTGTCCTTGCTGCCAAGACAGACTCCAGTTAGATCTTGTTCTAGGGATCCCGGGGGAGAGCCAGCAGGCACCCACACAGGGCTCAGCTCCCGCTGGATCACCCAGAGGCAGCTCAAGGCTCCTGGGGCCTGCCCCAGCATTGGGGATCCCCAGTCGGTGGTGCTCATTAATCACGATCAAGTGTTTCTCCATCCAACTCCAGTACGCTGGGATGAAAGGGTCCACCAGTTAGATCTTGTTCTAGGGATCCCGGGGGAGAGCCAGCAGGCACCCACACAGGGCTCAGCTCCCGCTGGATCACCCAGAGGCAGCTCAAGGCTCCTGGGGCCTGCCCCAGCATTGGGGATCCCCAGTCGGTGGTGCTCATTAATCACGATCAAGTGTTTCTCCATCCAACTCCAGTACGCTGGGATGAAAGGGTCCACCTGCCCCAGCCTGGTGTGGGGCAGAAAGGGGCTGGGGGCTTTTTTTCCCCCCAGCCACGGGAACAGCCCCACAGGGGCTGTAGGAGATGGGGTTCAGCTCGTGGCCAGCCATCACTGCTCCTTCGGCATGGGGAGCCCGGATACGTGAGGTCAGGGCGCTCTGGATAGTGGCTCAGGCATGGCGATGAGCAAGGAGGAACCAGGCCAGCCTCTCCCCTTCCTCGGACCATGAAGTCTCCACAGTGAAGGCAGGTCCCGCA